TGGGATGGCTCGGGCTGTCCCGTGTCCTGCTGGACGGAGCTGGGCTCCCAGAGAGCGTTCCCAGCCCCTCCAGCACCCAGCTCCTGCCTGAAGTGCCATAGCCACTCGTGGCCTCCTTTGTTTAAAACTCCACAGCTGTAAATTTGGAAGGAAAATCAGTCAGATTTAACTCGCATTTCCTTACCCAAGTTGGGACTTGGCTGGAGTAAATCTCAAAAGAGTGACTGCGTTATTGTTCTCAAACCTAGGCTGAATGCTTTTTTAGGTTAAAAATAGCTAAAAATCATATCTGGCCAAGCTTTGGTGCTAGGCCATTTCATCCATCTTAAACCCTTTCTTCTTCAACAGTGAAGATCAATAAATAATCTGCTAAAGATGTGTTTCATGGTAAATTTAAATACTTTTGAAATGCAATGTAGTAAAAACTGCGTCAATTAAACCACCATATATTTTGTTCTTCTGATTTTTATCAGTCATGTCACCAGCACTGGAGTAGGCAGTGTGTGGTAACCCTTAGGAGCAGCAGCTTCCCAATTACTGCTGCTGTTAGCAGAGCTGATAAAGGCAATTATGCCTGGAAACAATTAATTGTGTTAAAAGAGCCTAAGTTATATGCATCACTTGGCATGCAGCACCTTCCTGGCCTGCTTTTGTCCCTACGTGGGTGTGGGTGTGTGTATTATTTCCGTGTGTGTAACTCTGGAGAGAGAGAGCCAAAAGGAGCCAGGAGCCAAGGGAACAGGGGAGGGAATGGCCACGTGCTCCTTGTCCTTTGGAGTTGATATTTTTGATCTAACTGGGAAGAAAAAAACAATTGAAAATCCATACAGTGACCGAATACAATTCTGATGCAATGAAGTTGCAGTCACACTCAGGAAGTGACCCAGCAGTTCCTGGCAGGACACTGCGATGACGTGACAGCTTTATGCTTGTTCTTTTGTCCTATAACTAAACTCAGCTCCCCACACCTCCCACCTTCCCAAAAGCCCTCTTTGTCATCATTATCCACAGGCAATAACGACCAGCAAGGTGACCCTGCTAGAAGAAGCCTCCCAGCCCTTTTGGCAGCCCGGTGCAGATCCAAGGGCGCGCTCAGAGGAAGGTGAGGGCGCGATGTTTGCGCGGCAGGAAGCTGAGCCCAGGGTGGGGAGAAGGTGTTCAGTGGTACAGGAATGTCCCAGCATCACAGCTCTCACCACCCCAGCACACCTGCCTGCTGCAGGTATGTGCTCTGCGCCAGGTGAGTCAGCAGCCGTGCCCTGGGCACTGGCAGGGGTTTGCACAGTCACTGCAGCCCTGCCTTGCTCTTTAAAACCAGCAGATAGTCGCCCTGCCAACACCGTTCCACCTAGCCTGTACTTGCACATGCCCATCAAACAGGGTTACAGCCACGGGTTAAACCTGCTGTAAATCTGCACATGCAAACACACGTACAGATATGCACACATGCAAACAGAGGAATTAGCTGAGGGATTAGGAGAAGCCCTTTCTTCCCAAGAACATTGGTAATTTGAACTTCATACCATAACTAAATAAATGGTTTGGGGGGAGTGTGGTTCAGAAGAGTCTGACTCAGCTTCATGTTGTAAATCTAGTTTTACCACTGCCTTGCTGTGTGATCCTGAGTGGAGTTCTCAGATTCCCATGGTGCCTTTTGCTGAAAAAGGGGGATAATAAGAACTGCTCAGTCACAGGTGAGAACATAACTCATTTGTGCTCAAGTACAACATACATTGAAAATACTGTTTCTCCCTGGGTGGATAATTTGGGTTCTGGTGATGATGGAGAGGAGTCTCCATTAAACATCTGGGTTGTTTTTGAGCACTTTGGTCAGCACCTGCATGTAATTGAGCTCTCCAGTTGTCCAGAAAAGCAGCCGAGACTGAAACACAAGATAGAAGTCAACTGCTGTTGTATAATTATATTTTCTATTTGGACAGGTAGGAGGGTGCCTTCCCATTCTGCAGTCTTCATGGAAGATAAAGGTTTTGTGACAGCACATCACTGGGACAGGATATGAAGGACTGCAGATAAACCACGATTTTGGACTACAGGGTTTATCAAATATTGCAGTGCTGCAGGCTGGGATTTATCATCTCCCCAGGCTTGGTTCCTATTTGCCTTTGCTGAAATCCTTTTGAAGGGTGACAGCATTTGAGTACATTAGAACTGTAAGCAGGCAAAGTACAGAAGTGAGGATTTCTTATTACAGGAGAAATGGAGTAAAAGAATTGTGAAGATTACAGGGGAAACCACGTCATGGTGAATAAGAAGTCAGGCTCCAATCTTGGGGAGAACTGGCATCCAGACTAGTTTTAATAAGATGTTAGGTATTTTTTTTCTATTTAAACTTGATCTTGAATTTCCTCCTGGTACCTCATATCCTTTTACGGTCAGTAGCACTGCCCTCATGCATATTTATTAGATTTAGACATATTTTGCAAGTCACCTTCACATCTTATTTTCTTTTCCTGGACAAACTGGTTGGTTATGTACACACTGAATTTGCAAATCTCATCTCTGGTGTACATTAACCCCTATTAGTCCGGTTGCTCAATGTGCAGATAAGTTTTGAGGCTTATTTGCAATTTAACTTCCTTCTGTATATTAAGCACAGCCCATACTTCTGTTTAGTTTTCATAACCCAGATTCCTTCACACATGGAAATGACCTGCATATCCAGCATCCTGGCAGAGAAACAGCCCTTCTGTTTGAGAGATCAGTGTCCCTACTGTCTGAGAGAGAGCAGGAATTAGGAGTTTGTAAGGTGCTCCTTCCTTTCAGGGAGCTGCAGGTGTCAGAAGAGCAGCAGGTTTATTTACCTGCACTTATTTTCTTTGCCTTAAGCTCACAGTGAAGCTGGAATAGAAGAGGCAGATTTTATTTTTCCTCCCCAGACTAAACCACATCTCTGAACCCGAGCTAGAAGCACTTTCTGTTTGCTTGTGGCACTTCCAGACCTGCTGAAGGCCTAGAAAGTGCAGCCACTGAAACACACACACTTGGTTACTGAGGCAGAGGTTAGTGTGGCAGGAGACAAGTTGTTGGAATAAACACAGCTGTGTTTTTTCCATCACTGTGTGCTCATTTACTGGGTCAGTCAGCCACAGACCCTGGTACAAAGGGTACAGGGTAAATCCCTGTCCCTGGGGAAGCACTGGGACTGTAGGATCCACTCTCAAATTTCACCTTGGATGGGGTTCACTGTTGTTTAAATCAAATAAAGCTGTGGTTTTACCTATTACAGGGAATGGTTAGAGCTTATAAATAGTGAGGCAAACAACCTGCCATGGGATATGCAGTCAATTTGCAATCAGTTGTGCTTTCAAATGCTTAATTGCTTACAGTTCTGCCAGGACAGTCTTCAGTGCCCCCAGGTTAAGGTTTCAAATGAACCCCTCCAAGTTCCCCAAGAGGACTTTTGCCTTTGAAGAAAAAGAACTTTTAATCTCTATCACTCTGACTGAAAAGCTCTCAAACTGATTTTGCTCACGTTCCCAACTTTGGGCAAAGCCACAGCCACAACATTCTACAGTCCAGGGTTTCAGAGGGAACAGTGGCCTTGTTTCCAGGAGAACAGCCTGAAACACAGACTGCCCACAGGCAGCCAGGCCCCAGGGATTGGGCAGCTCCAGGAAGCAGCTCCTGTTCCAGCACTGGAGCAGTTCCCACTGCTGCTCTGGGTGAAGCCCAGCTTTGCTGCCAGGCTCAGGCTGGCTAATGGGCACGGCTGACCCTGATTTTCACTTCAAAAAGAAGCTGTAGCTGGAATGATTTAGAAAGGCAGGATTTTCCATGCAGTCCCAGGGTTTGTGCAGGCAAAAAGATCTGCATTAGATTAATTCTGCTGGATCCCTGGTGCTGTGTGGAGCTCCCACCCATCTTCCAGGGCATAGAAAACCCTCACAGCTTCAGCACACAAGCAGTGCCACTTGTCACATGCCAACAGCACAATAAAAGGGCCCGTTCAAGCCACAGGATGAGAGGCTCAGGGGAAAAAGTAGCCTTGAGTTATCTGGATGCAGAAGAGAGAATTCAGCACCTGTGGCAATGAACAAAGTCAGGCCCTGTTATCAGCTTGGACTGGTGCCACCAGCACAGACAATCTGCTGTTTCTAGAGTGCCATTTCAGTTGAAGCTGTTTGGACCTAACCTGGGAATACAATGCTGGGATTGTCATCACAGCAGCCTTGGGAAACAGGGTTCCCCTTCCTGAAATTCAAGTGTAGTTTTTTTGCAATAAAACTAATCTGATTGCATCCTCCAGTTCCCTTTTTGCAGTCATGCCTGGGAGGGACACAATCAAATTCTCTTTCCTGGCATCTCATGTACTAATGATCGTTGTCCTACCAGTACTTTGCAGGGTGAGTTGGCTTCCCCCAGGTAACCCAATTTGGGTTTTCCCCCAGTTTTTTAATTAAGCAGAAATCAATTCCACTTCTAGGAACTGGTGGCCACATTCTGCTCCCAGGTACTGATAAAAATGCAGAATTAATCACTTGCCTGTCAGCACTGGGTGGAACCCCCAGCCTCCTCATACCCACAGAGCAAATTTTCATCGAGCAGGAACTCCTGGCCATTTACTGAAGGATGATTGAGGAGCTCAGAGCACCACACAAGTTCCCTAAGTGGAGGGAGGGAAAACAAAAACAGATCTTATTCTTCTTCTGAGGCACAGATTGTTATCATATCACAAAAGCCAGCAGCTGAAAAGATTCCAGTCAGGAAGCACCACGCTTTGAGAACAGGTTAGACTGCCTGTCCTTCCCTGGGAGACTGACACCCAACGGGATCCGGGGTGGAAATGAGTTCTCCAGACTGCTGGGCTCACAGCCATCATCAGATGCTGAAGTGTTTTACATACCTCCTTCTCTGTGGGTTCCTCTTGTCATTCCCCAGAACACGTGTGCAGGAGCAGCTGCATTCAGCTGTGGTGTCAGATGAACGTTACCTTGAAAACCCAGAAAGCAAAAAACACTCCCAGCCAGAGCAGCTCAGCGTTGAGTGGCAGAGGTAGTATTTTATTTCTTTTGAGCATCCCTCCTCAAGGACACTAAATTTAGAGTTTGTAAAACATCACTAACTGAAAACAAAACATTGCCAATAACAAAAATGCAAACCTGCTGGAAAGGAAAATGCAGCAGCATTCAAGTATCAGAAAACATGAGAGCTAAAGTGCTTGAGAGAATTTCTTAACTATGCAGAGTCTGAAGTCAGTGTTCCCCTAGAAATGCTATTTTTAAAACAGCACTTGCCTGGCTGCATAGGATTTTTCACCAATCTATAGCAAGATAACACTACGAAGCCAGAGCCATTACCCCAAAGGGCTAGGAGCGACACATTTCTTTCTACCCCTCATACTAAAATAAATTATTTTCAAAGAAACACATTATAAAGTTCAGGCAGCTGAAGCTGGACTTCAAGGAACGTGACAGAACGGATTTCCCATGCAGTGAAGTCGCTAGCATGGCCTGAAGCTGAACAAAGCTTTGGTGGGATTTATAAAGTGCTGTATTGTAGTGTTTTTTGCCTGTCTTTAGTAGTGTTTTTTTTTTCACACCAGCACCGGGGTTGTGAGTTAAAAAAAATTCTGAAATAACAGACCAATTTTCAGTGGATGCTGGAGCCAGACAGACATTGCACAGTGCACACAAATAACGTTAAAAAACTACAAACAAATCGAACCAAAAAAAACCCCAAGCCCCAAAACCTAACCCTGTTATGGTAAAACATTTCATCCTTAAAAACAAACACCCACCAAGCACCAAGAGCAAATCAGAGAGTAACATCTGCCTCCCAGTCCCCCGGCTTGTCCCAGCAAGGATGGATACTACGTAATACAAGCTCAGCAGCAATGGTTGAGAGCCTGAGCCTGCAGGCACTCAGTGCAAAACTCTCCCGGCATTCAGCTCCATGGGAGTGATCCAGTTTTCACCAAAGCCAAAGGGAGCTCCCTACAGGCTTCAGCCAACTTTGGATTAGCCCCATAGATTGACAGAGGGAGCACGACCTCGCTTTACAGTCATCATTTTTCTATCCAGCCACAAAAGCCACCCCCTGAAATTCCTGGAGGGGTTTTCAACCTTCCCCCCCACGCATGCATTTAACATCCATTACAGTTAATAGCAGTTACACATGCAGATCGATGGGAGAAAAGTCCCAGTCGAGAGGAGTTACTGGTAGTAAGAAAAGGAACCCAGTAGAAATGCTGAGAATTGCTAAAGACCCAGCTCCCTCCAGTGAATCCCTGTTTTGCCGGCCGGCAGGGTGTCCTGCAGGAAGCTCTATGGTGTGTGTTTGGGTGTGCAGGGTGCGTGACGTGGGGCGAGCCAGCGGCGCCGTTCTGCCACCTCCATCCCAGCCGTTCTGCCACCTCCATCCCAGGGAGCGTCCGAGCGCCGGCCGCCCTCACTTGGGCGCGGCGTTGGTGAAATCGTCCTGAATTGCTAAAGACCCAGCTCCCTCCAGTGAATCCCTGTTTTGCCGGCCGGCAGGGTGTCCTGCAGGAAGCTCTATGGTGTGTGTTTGGGTGTGCAGGGTGCGTGACGTGGGGCGAGCCAGCGGCGCCGTTCTGCCACCTCCATCCCAGCCGTTCTGCCACCTCCATCCCAGCCGTTCTGCCACCTCCATCCCAGCCGTTCTGCCACCTCCATCCCAGCCGTTCTGCCACCTCCATCCCAGCAGTTCTGCCACCTCCATCCCAGCCGTTCTGCCACCTCCATCCCAGCAGTTCTGCCACCTCCATCCCAGCCGTTCTGCCACCTCCATCCCAGCCGTTCTGCCACCTCCATCCCAGGGAGCGTCCGAGCGCCGGCCGCCCTCACTTGGGCGCGGCGTTGGTGAAATCGTCCTGTGCCGCGGCCGGCAGGGAATGGTCTATCCTGAACTCCTCCTGCAGCCCTCCGGGCGCCTTGGCTGCATCCCCCCGGGCTGCAGGCTGGCCACTGTCCGTGCCGCCCCCCTCCAGCCCCAGGATCTGTCTCTGCACCAGCTTGGAATAAAGGCCTCCTTCTTCCATCAGCTCCTTGTGCGAGCCCTGCTGCACCACGCGGCCCTTGTCCAGCACAATGATGTTGTGTGCCCTCTCCACAGTGCTCAGCCTGTGGGCTATGACAAGCACCGTGTGGTTCTGCAAGTCGCCGTAAATCGCCTGCTGAATCTGCGGGGAGAAAAGGCGTTAGTGCCCGGGCACTGCGAGAGCAGCAGCTTTGTGGTCTCTGTCCAGAAACCTCGACAGGAGATGTGTTCTGCTCTGCTCCCTGCAGCACTACCAGCACAAACATGTCCAGCCCAGCTTCCAGCTGCAGCCCAAAGACCATCTCAGTCCAGCCAGGTGAGCTACGAGCACAGGTCTGATCCTGCAAGCTGGGGACTTGTTACAGCTGGGCCCCAAATTTGGAGGCCACGTGGTGCTGGCAGAGACTGCAGGAATACCTGGTGACTGCAGCTGCTCAGAAAAGCAGAGTTCTTTCCTCAGTGTATCAAGGAAAGGCAAGAGAGGTTTTTTCCAGTCAAGAGACAATAACATTGACGTCTAAAGGCAGGCAGGTGGCCATCAGGCACAGGTCACATTGACACCCCTGGGTAGCCAAAACCAACCCTGGGCTGGCACCAGGTACCACACACGTGACTGAGGACCTGTGAGGCAGCAAGCTGCTCCAAGGTCAGATACTTGTGCTGCCCCAGCAGGATTTGTCCTCTGGGATTGGAGGCACATCCTCAAATCCCAACCTTGAACAATCTTTCCCTCATGTCATTGCATCAGGGAGGCCAAACTTCCAGACAGGTAAACCAGTTCCCAGCATGCTCAAGGTTTTTCCTGCAAATGCGGCTTCCTTGGTGCCTTGGCTGGGATTTGAGCTCAGGCACTCCTACTCTCCTTGTTGCAGCACCATTTTATATGGTCTTCCTCTGTATCCTGTCCTAAAAGGCTGCACAGACTCTCTGTATGACAATTAACACCTTCCACATTGAAAAAAATCAGCAAAGATCCCTACTTCATCAGTTTTGTCAGGCATTGTCTGCTGTGAGCATGGAATTATTTTCTGCTGGCTACAAGAGCATCGGAATCAAATTCCTGCTACAGAATTAGTGCTTTACTCAACCCTCTGCTAGCACCCTATCAGGAATAAGTTTGTCCACTGGCTGGAAACAGGCTACAGTCTGTCCTCCAAGCCCTCTTTGTCCCAAGCAGCCAGGCCCCCCACTCACCGCGTGCTCGCTCTCTGCATCCAGCGCGCTCGTGGCTTCGTCCAGGATGAGGATGGGAGGGGCTCGGATCAAGGCCCTGGCAATCGCCACTCTCTGCTTCTGCCCACCTGACAGCTGAGCTCCTTTTTCCCCAGCCTCTGTTGGGTCAAGGGAGAGAGGAAGGGGTCAAAATGAAAAGCAGGAGGTGCCAGGACGTGCAGTGCCAGGCCCAGCAGTGCCGTACCTGTGTGGTAGCCGTCCTGCAGCTCCGTGATGAAGTTGTGGGCGTTGGCCTTCTGGGCAGCCTGGACCACGGACTCGAAGGAGGCTGAAGCCAAGCCATAGGAAATATTGTCTGCAATGGAGCGGGCGAACAGCACGGGCTCCTGGCTCACCAGGGAGATCTGCAGGAAGCAAAGGGAGAGCAGGGGTCAGGAGCAGAAGATGCACTGCGTGATATCTCTGACCATTGATATTTGTTCCTGCTGAGTAAGGACCGAGATCAAGATTTAGAAATGTCATTAACCAAGACAGAGAAGTGCTCAAGGTGAGCTTCCAGTGAGGATGCCAACGTCAGGGTACGCAGTTTGCATTTTCTGCTGGAAAGCCATTTTGCAGGAAAGAAACCTAAAGCAATGCTGGCACGTTGGCATCTGGGATGGGCTTCCCCCTCCTAAAGCCTGCTGTGGTTTTGCTCCAGATCTGTTATTCCCATCAATGTTTGCTTTTCTCAGAATGGAAAACCAGTTGCTGGAATAAGTCAGGCTGGAGAGACCCTCTCCCAGACCCTTGCTGATTTTCCTTTCAAGGCCAGTAGTCAAACTTGGGCCGTGTGAATGAGCCCTCTTGCATCTTTTAATCCCAAATGAGCAAGTTAGGGAAGTAACTGCTGCAATTCCTTAATTGCTTAGCAACAGCCTCCCTGTCCTGCCTTACAGCCATAGCTGTTCACTGTCACGCTCAGACACTTTATCAAATCATTGATATTGGAATAAATCAAACCTTTCAAACTATTACTCAGAATTGTGCATGAGAGAGCCAGGGAGACACAGTCATATTTAACTGAGTTCTCCCCATGCCCCTAACACCACACCAGGCTTTCTGAACTGAAAGATTTGCCTGGCCTTTGATTTTTGCTCTGTACGGGCAGGGAATGTAAATTAGTCACAGTGACTTTGGCTTTCCAGCCTGTCTCTGATCAATTGTTTTCAGGTTTTCCTGCTGACTGCTGAGGCCATTTGCTCTGGGGGCAAACAAAGGAGGCAGTTACTTGCAGAGATGAAGGCTGATCTGTGCTGACACACAGATGAGAGCTGAGGGGCCCGGACCCCTCTCCTAGGCAAAGCACCAGCCCTTCTGGTGCTCCAGCTGCTGCCAGGATCCTGAGAGGTTTAACTCCCAATTAGCTGAGAATTACTCTAAGATCCTAAGGTAGAAATTGCTGGAGGAATACAAAACTCTTTTTCCAAACCCAATTTAGATGATAATTAATCCAACAGCCAAAAACATATTTCTACTGTGTTGGCCAAAAAATACCAAACAAAAGATGTTTTTGTTCTGTTTTTGGAAGACTTCCCCTTCCCCTTGAAACCACCCTCCATCTCCTTCCCTTCCACCCCCACAAATTATCCAAATTCATTTCTTGGACCACTTCCAGCCTCCAGCTTTCTGGACACTTCTGGAGCTGCCAGATCAAATCCAAAGCAACGTGCAGCAGTGCCATGCATCCCCTCAGAGCCCTGCAGCTGGTAAGTGGGCTAAGCAGAACACAGGAATCACAACCAGAATACAGGTATCAGTCGCTCGTACCACGGAGTGCAGGTACTTGTGATCGTACATGTTAATGGGACGCCCATCCAGCAGCACCTGCCCGTCCTGCAGAGGGTAGAAGTTCTCCAGGATGTTGACACAGGAGCTCTTCCCACTCCCTGAAGGACCCACCAGCGCTGTCACTTTGCCAGGGTGCAGGGTGAAGGACACGTCCTGCAACATGGATGGGAGAGCGTGCTCAGGGCCAGGCTTTTCTCAACGTCCTGGAGCACAACACAAGAGAAGGAGCCAGAATCTGGCCAGAGTGCCCCTCTGCCTTGGTGGTGTGCCACATCAGCCATTTCTCCTGGCTCTGAGGAAGCAAAAAGCCTCCAAATTGCTTCAGATTTGCCTGCTGATGTAGCAGGAGCTCCAAAAAGCAAACTGACCTCTTTGCTGCTTCCCCCTGTCCCATGATCCCAGCCCCTCTCCCACGGAAACAGTCTGAGGCAGCTTGGCACAAAGCCCTGTACCACGCTGACATGTTTAATGCCTGAGCAGGGAACAAGGGTTTTATTAATAAATCTCATTCCTTGTAAGGAAAGCCAGCCCTAAACACCCGCTGCTCCTTTTAATCTGTTTCCCAGCAAGCACTGAGCCTGCCTTTACACATCTCTGACAGGCAGCTGCCATTCCCCACGGGCTGGGGTTTGCTCCTGGCCAGGATGGAGCAGCAGCACGTGGTGCTGGGAGTGCCCCCGGGGCTCACCTGGAGGACCTGGGTGGCGGAGCGAGTGCGGTAGGAAAAGGTGACATTCCTGAACTCCACCTTCCCATCCACGTGATCCGGGGCCAGGGAGCCGTCGTGCACCATGGTGGGCTGGCGGTCGATGAACTCAAAAACCTTCTCAGCAGCCCCCACGCCCTGCATGAGGCCGCTGTACACGGAGCCGATGGACTGCAAGGGAGGAGGCAGCAGTGAGACCCTCCTGAGTGATGGGGAAATCAGCCAGTGCCACTCAAAAGGGGGGTGGCTGAAGCACTCCCCAGTCTGCCATCGCCTGACGTTGACTGCAGGCATCAGACACAGGGAAAGAAAACTCTCCCTCCTCTGTTGGGTATGGAAGGGATACATGGACGGCCCTGGGAAAGGGTGTTTTGCAATGTTAAACCCAGAGCTGCAGAACAGTTTGTACTGTAGCTGGCCCTCCCAGCAGGAGGGGGAAAAAAAACCCCAAACCAAACTAAATCCACACCAAAACCACAGCCTGGAAACCCCACCAGAGCCTGCAGTGATCTGAACAGATGGCGAGAGCTGGGCAGGCTGCCTCTAGCTCTGCTCTGCCCCTGCACAGAGGCTGAAGCACCACCAAAACCACACTTGGCTGTGAGGAAACCTCGACTGGATCATTCCTGCCTGGATTAGCCAAGTTTATGCCTCTGCAAGGGGAAGGCAGCCCTGGGTGGGCTCTACCATCCCACCCACAATCCCATCTTGCTAATGCGCTGCCAACGCAGCAGCTTGCAGCCTATTCCAGGGAAAGGAAAAAAAAAAAGGAATATAATTAAGTTTTTAATGAAGCCTGAAATTTAACAGGCAGCTTTGTAATCCCTTCATTCTTCACGCCAGGAAATGTGCTTGGCAGGCAGCCAGGGCTCTGCCCTTCAGCAGGGCCAGCCTGACCCCTCTGGTCCCAGCTGCCTTTTTGGGGGACAAGCTGCTTCAGGAACATGAAGATTGTGAGACCACAGGAGGGGAGGAATGGGGAGCAGAGGGGAGAGTCCCCCTCTGGCAGTGCCACAGCACCAAAGAGATGAGTCATGGGAAAGTCAGCACTGGATCTATCCCTGCAACTGCCCTGGGACCTTCTGGGAGAGAGAAGGATAGCCCAGAGTGTGGGAGGCCCTGGCACGCGTTGCCCAGAGCAGCTGTGGCTGCTCCACCTGTGGAAGTGTCCAAGGCCAGGTTGGATGAGGCTTGGAACAACCTGGGAAGGTGTGGAAGGTGTCCCGGCCCATGGCAGGGAGCTGGAGTGAGATGGTCTTTAAGGTCCCTTCCAACCCAACCCATTCTGGGATTCCCTGCTAAAAATGACTCACCTCCATGCAGTCCCCCAGGACGAACTCATAAATGATGAAGGATATCAGGTTTCCACTTGTCATTTGCCCAGAGATCACGAGGTGCCCACCGTAGTAAAGGATGCTGACCTGGACCACCAGCAGGGTCAGCTGAAAGCCAGAAAACACCCCGGAATCAGCAAGGACAAATGGATATTTTGGTGCATTTGTCATTACTCACACAACAGCCCAATCTTGATGTGCTGACATTTATTCTTTGAGCCCTGAGCTGAGGATCCCTGACAGTGCAGCTGACAGCCCTAGCAGCGAGCATGGAAATGAGAAAAACAACTCAAGTACATGGGCTGATTTAAGGAGCTGGGCAGATATCTTTCAACAAAACAAGTCCCGAGGGACACCAGCCATGGAGGCAGAATTTATCTGAAATAACAGAGCATCTCATGAACTTCTCTCTTGGACTAAGGTCCTCAAGCATAATAATCTATGTTCAAATTACCCAAGGCATGCAGTCACCTCACCACTAAAATAAACCTTCTGTTATATGAGTGTGACACATTTTAATTTAGAACACAAAATCAAGCCAGGAGTTAATGCAGAATATCCTCCTTGCCTGTACAAGTCCCTGAAGCATAACCCCAGCTGTCACCTGAAGTCAGTGTGGGGGGTACCACCTACTCTAGAAAGGAGACAGATCAGCTCTGATGTGACAAATACCAGCCCCTTTTATTCAGCTGGTTTTGTTCCATGCTGCCCTGGTGCTCCAAAAAGCAGTGATGCCCTCGTGCCCTGTAGGACCAGAAGAGGCTGTAAATTCACACAGACAAAAATACAAGGGGAAAAAAGCCTCCTCTGTAGCTCTGCCAAGGTCTGACCTTAAGCTCCTGTGTTCCCTCCAAGAAAGACTCTACCAAGGCTGAGCTATATCCATTGTCTTCTTTCTACGTGAGCCCTACAGGAGCAGGTTTTTGCCTTCTTAGATTTGTCAGGATCAGTGTCAACCCACTCATGCTCCAGCTTCACCTGGGAGCCCAGAAACAATGCTAATAATGCTCCCATCTTGTTTCCAGACTTGGGAAGCCATAAAGTCTCTCACAGCTGCATGAAGGCACCATAACTCACAGACCCTTCACCAGCGACTGCCTCGATCCCTGAACGTGCAGAGACAAGGGCAGCCTCACGTGAGAGTTTTGCCCTGGAGAAATCCCAAACCATCTGGTGCTAAATGATGAAAAAGCATTTTGTAAGGAGGGGGGGGGGCAGAAAAAATGCCCAAAGCCAAAGCCCAGCAGCCTCCCCCTGCCACCACCCACACGCAGAAGATCTCCGTTCCTGAGCAGAAGCTCAACCAACGCCGCGGCTGTTCCCAGCCGGAGCCCGGAGCGGAGCTGGCACAGGCACTCACTGCAGCACCACGCAGCCATGGGCTGCTCCACGACCTTGAGCTCTTAGCAATTATTGCCCCATTTGCAGGGGAAAACAAGCAGCTCCAGGGAATGACACAACGCTGCCTCGGGGCGCAACGGGATGCATTTTTGGGTGGATAAAAATAACAAATGATCAAGAGCCCGGGGATCACTGGCAGTGGACAGCAGGGCTGGGCTCACCCCACAGGGTTCCCTGTGAGCAGAGGAGAACCACGTGTGCTTTGGGATCTGAAGAGACTCCCCTGCCCATCCCAGCCCCACGCAGGGAAGCCCCAGGGTCATCCACCTACCCCACTGGACCAGACATAGTAGGTGTAAGCCATGGCCTCCCGCTTGTTGAGCTTGTACACCTGCTGCAGCTTCTGCCAGTACACGTTGGCCTCCGTCTCCTCGTTGGCAAAGCTGCGGACGGTCTTCATGGCCGAGATGGTCTCCTCAGCCGTGTTGTTGGCCTTGGCCAGAGCGCTCTGCACATCCTTGGAGAGCTTCTGCAGGGAGCAGGGGGAGGCAGAGGGGGCTCAGTGGGTGCCAGGCTGCCCATGGCACATTTCCCTGCTCGCCCCGGGCTCTGGGACCCCACCAGATGACTCCAAAGAGGGAGATGGCATGAGGACAGGCAGATGCATACAGGGCATTCCACAGCCCAGCCACCTCTTCTATCAGACCTGAGATGGTTCCACACTCCTGGGCATGAAGCAAGGTAAGAGCCCAGGCTACGCCTGTCTGCCCACACAGGTTTAATGTCACCTTTCTGTCCCCACTGCTGGCAGCAAAACACTCCAGCATCACTCCCACCAGTTCCAAGGCTCTCTGATGGCTTCACAGGGAGACCAGCCCAGCACTGCGGCAATGCCAGCTGCTCCTGCCTACCTGGTAGTACTTCCCATAGACATCAGACACCAGCATGATGATGGGGAAGCCCATGAAGGTGACCAGGGAGAGCTTCCAGGACAGGCTGAACATGAAGAAGATGACGCCCGTGGCCTTCACCACGTTGCGCAGGAAGATGTTGATGTTCTGCGAGACCAGGTCGCTCACGATGGTCGTGTCCGACGTCAGGCGGGAGATGACATCCCCTGCAGCAACGAGGGGTCAGGGAAAGGGAGAGCAGGGACGTGTCACCACGGCAGGGCACTGCCTAACCGTGTCCCACATCCCATGCCAGGGGCCAGATGGAGCTCCCCATCCATCCAGCTGGGGGTCTGAAGGGTGGCGTGGAAGGGGGGCCGTTCTCCACCGCTGTGGGTGCAGAGCAAAAGAGGAGCTTGGATTGCAGCATGCACGAGGAGCAGGAGGTGGCACCTGCAGGCACAAGCTGCATCCCTGGGTCACCAGGGGTGGCTGTAGGACAGCAAAGGGGACTGTGGCAGCATCCTGTGCTGGAGGGCAGCCCACAGTCCACAGCCTGGAGCTGGCCCGAGGGACCTGAGGACATGGGTCCAGCTACTGAGGGGTGAAGCTCTGGCGGTGCCTTTTGGTGGAGCTGAGTGTTACAGCCAGCAAACATCACACTGAGCTGGCTCCTGAATCCTTGGCATGTGTTTGAGTCCAGCTGAATTCCCATGCTTTTGTGCAAGTCCAGGGTTACCCACATCCCACTTCCAGTAACATCTCTGCTGCCCTCAGCTACCAAGGCACTGTGCAGTGACTGCTAAATACAGCAGCAGCCTCAAAACTAAAAATACCACTGAGACAAAATTAAATGTGTGCAAGTTACACCAGAGTGGCACACACAGCCTGGGACTGGGACGGGACTGAACTGGAAGCAGGGAAAGCAATAAGCACACCCAGCAAGCCTCACACATCTGAGGTTTCAGGGACAGGAGCAGAGCTGGAGAGCAGCCCACCAATAGGCACTGATGGGAGGAAGGAAATGGGAGTTTTGGGGGTGGGACTTGTGGATGCCAGGCTGATGGGTGGCAATGGGACATCCCCACGGTGGAAGGCAACAGAAAGGGAAGAACTTTCTGTCTCTATTTCTAACCACGAGCACGTGGGTGCCGCCTCTGGCTGCCCCCAGTCTGCTGCATGGCAGTAGATCAAGCCAAGGGGAAAAAAATCTGGGATGGGATAGAGGGGTTAGAGCAAATCCAGGGGAGAGAGGAACCAACCTGTGCGATTCTCATCAAAAAAACTCATCTCCTGAGACACCAGGGACCTGAAGAGGCAGTTCCGAAGGCGGATGTTCAGCCGTGCAAAGATGAGCGTAAAAACGCCGCCCCGGATACCTGCGGCAAATGAGCTAATTGCAGATAAGAAACGTTATAGAGCCATGGACACGAAACCCTCTCAGCAACACCAACACCCCCACGCCGGGCCAAGGGCCTGGGCAGTGCTGACACCACTTATCACCAGCCCACACCTCTCCTGGGTGCCACCAGCACAGTGGTGGCTGGTCCTAACCATGGTAGTCACAAGCTTTGGGAAGGAATGCAGCACTGCTGGAACAGCACTCCCCAGGGAACCCATTCCCTGTGTCCACTCCTGCTCCCCCACCTCCAGCAGATGGACACGAAGGGTCACACAAAGGCCTTGTGATGCCAGCCACAGCCTCTCTGTGCAGAGAATTCACAGCACATCCCTGGGGCCTGGCAGCAAATTGGTGGAGCGGGTGCCTGCGCCCACCACCACCATGAGCTCCTGTGGGAAAATCCCAAACTGCTTGCCAGGGCCAGATCCAGCCCCTGCATTACCTTCCTATGGCCAGCAGTGACATGACCAGCACTGCCGTGGAGAAGCGATCCATACTCTTCTGCACCACGATGCCGTCGATGGCCAGCCCTGTGTAGTAGGGCAGGAAGGTCTCTCCTGCAGGACAAGCACAGGACATGGGGGTTCAGCCCCACTGAATGGGATTGGCACAGGATCTGTATTCCCAACTGTGACAGCCTGTGGACAACCCCATCCCCACCCCAGATACCTGGCCATCACACAATGGGGACGTTACATTCCAGAGTATTTTATCCCCTATTGCATTTGGTGTTGCTCTGTTGCACTTTTTCACCCACCCCATGCAGCATGTGCCACCCAGCACCCCCCAGAAAAGCAATCCTAGGGTGCTTCCATGCCCCATCACCAAGGCTCCTCCCTCCCTCCTGGTGGGAATGGGAGTACACCACGGCCTGCCTGGTCCCTTCACTCACCCAAGGCGGCCACGAGGAGGAAGAAGGAGGCGATGCCCAGGAAGAAGGCATCCGGCTTGGTGTAGGACAGCAGTTTATGGATGGTGGGACCTGCTGCCTCCTCCCTCTTGTCCCTCGGGGTGCCCCCATCACAGCTCTCCTCCACCTCGGCACGGGACTCGGAGCTGGGCCCCAGCGCCTCGCGGGAGGAGGTGACACAGGCCAGCAGCTGCCACAGCCCGAAGGTGGCCGCCAGCGCCACGTAGGTCCAGGCAAAGAGCCCCCAGAACCAGGGGTCCCTGATGGTCTTCCGCACCTCCGAGTAGAGCAGCAGCTTCACCATCATGTAGATGCCCATGAGGAGGCAGACGACGGCGATGAAGGTCCGCGATGCCCTGAGGCGCCGGGGGCCGTAGGCCGTGTTGGTGGCCACGCCGATGGCGGCCCCCAGCAGCACGCAGCTGCGGTACAGGCAGCCCCCCCAGATGTCCAGCAGCGAGTTGAAGATGTTGAAGTGCCGCAGGTCCTGCAGGACATTGCGGCCGCCCTGGCCGTGGGTGTAGAGCAGCGTGGTGACCGCCACATCGGCCCCGCTGAGCGCCAGCGTGCTGGCAACCGCCTTCCAGGCGCGCATCCTCGCCGCCGGGCTGGGGTCACGGACGTGGTGAAGGGCAGCCCTAACACAGGAAGGACGTGCTCATGTCGGCCTCTGCTGCGGGGTGAGAGAGGGGGACGGGGTTATTTAGCCCAGGGAGGAGGCAGGGAAAGGGAAGCAGGATGGGGGGACAACCGTGCCAGCTCCCCAGCAACCCATCCTGACCGCAGACATCATTGTCTGCACCTCCCTCCCTCCCCTGCTGCACATGGTGTTTCATTAAATGAGCAGCACAAAGGAAGACAAACTTCCCTCCCAGATGCCTTCACCCATCCTGAATCCCAAAGCAGAAATCTGCAAATCCCGATGGGAATCTGGCTGTGGCGCTGCCATCACATCCATGCAGCCACGTGTCCTGCGCTACGGAGCCGTGGAGGTGTTACACTTGGACAGTCATGATCCCAGAGTCCCTGCCCACCCTTCCCAGGACAAAGCTGAAACCAAGCAGTCAAAACCGTAGGAAAGCAGACAAGGGGAGCAGCTCAGCTCTATAAGGGATCCCCCTCATCAAAATAAGATTAAACCACATGAACCGCAGCTTGCCACACCTTACCGTCCCCAGCCCTCTTGGACAGTAATTCGGGGTAGCCCACTGAACCCGCTGTGCAGCCAGCGTGCAGTTCAATGACACAACAAAAATCCCGAGAGGAAATTAAAAAGGGATTGGAATTCCACGGCTGCGTCCCGCGGGACAGGAAGGCTCCGGGGCGGGCGGGACGCTGCCCTTGCTGCCGCCCGGTGTGCCCGGTGGGGCAGGCTCTGAACGGACACGGCAAAGGGCGGAAAGCTCCACTTGCCCTAAGCCCAGCGAGCCGCTGACCTGCTCCGGTGCCATTGGCAAGAGGGAGGTGCCCGATCGAGGTGCCCGATGCTGGAATTTGTGCTGGCTCAGCGCTGGTGACGGTGCACAGTGCGGAAGGCACCGCGCTAAGGGTGCCATGTGGCGGCCACACTCCGGCCCGTGTGACCGCAGCGCCCCAAAACCAAACCACCGGGACCAGGGGCAGCCCTCGGCGCTGGACAAGCTGCGCCCTTGGGGACAGCCGCTCGGCGGTCGGGCAAGTGGGATAAAAAGCTAAAAAGGGGAGGAAAGCAGGGCAGAGGCTGCGATTTGGGGGAGCACGGGGGTTTACGGGGCGGGTGGGGAAGGAGGGATGGACGCAAAGCGGAGCAGCGATGCCAGGGAGGAGCAGCACACGCTTCCCAGGGTGCTCGCTGCTGCCATCCGCTGCAAAGCTGCGCGGATCCGGCCCGAGGAGGAGGAGGAGGCAGCCACCGCAGCTCGCCACCACCCGCAGCAGCGTCCCCAGCCCCCGAGCTGGAGCCGCCCAAGGTCCGCACTCGCATCCCGCCTTCCCCGCGCAGGAGAATGTCCCGAGGCGGGCAGGGGGAGACACCCGGGAAGGGCCGTGCCCGCCACAGCCCGGCCGGACACCCACGCACGGCTCCCGCTTCCGAGCAGCTCGGCCTCGGCCCGCCCGGACGGCTCTTACCGGCGGCGGGTCGGGGATCGGCGGGATCAGCCCGCTCCGAGCGGCGGCGGCGCGTCCCGGGAACAAGGTCGGTGCTGGGCGTGGTCCAGCTGTGGCCACGCCCCCGGCCACGCCCCTCCTGCGGCGCGCGCCCGGCCCCGCCCACGGCCGGACCGAGCAGCGGCACCGGGGACCCCAAAATTCGGGGTTCGAGGGGGGTTCCCCGGTCCTCCCTGTCCCGGTAAACCCCGCCCCGATGCGGCAAAGGCAGCCCTGAAATTTTCCCCGCCTTAGAAGGTTTTTTATCCTCCTCAAATATACATGTTTTTAAATTTTTAAAATTTTTTATTGGTTCTATGTCATTTCTGCAGTAGAGAGGGAAAATACAACACAGGAGTTGGCTCAAAAGCAACCGGGAAAAGAGCTCGAAATAATATTTTAAGTTAGTCCTTAAACAGGGCCTTGATGGGTTTAATTAACCCCTTAAGAGGGGCTTGGCAAGGGTTTAATTAACCCCTAACACAGACGAATCCACTTTCAAGAAATCCAGCTTGTAAATTATTTTCCCCTTCACCTCCCACTCCAACTCTTAAGGAATGGAAGGGCTCCGGCTCCTCCCTGGACAGCACCCATGCATCCAGGTGAGCTATACGGGTGACAGAGGTGCAGTGTCATTATCCCAAAATTTCCAGGTGTTTTTGGAGTGCTGGGCTTAAAAACACCCCTGTGACCCTCACTAGCACAGGCACAGATGTCAAAATTCCTGGAGTTTGCACCATTTCTGGAGAGAACAGAACGGTGACATTACAAAAGACAAATTAATTTTTATCTGCCTGGATAAGCAAAACCAAAAATACCACATTCTGTTGTTGGTTTTATTTCTGCTAGTAAGTGCTTAAAACAAAACATTAAAAAACAAATCTCTCACTTCAAGCCCTTCCCACATCCACCAGGAACACAGTCAGAGCTGGAGTGACTATTCCTGGCTCAGGCTCTCAGCAGGGACGCTTTTAAGCTGCAGGAAACATTGTCCGTGGCTGGGTCTGGTTTCTGCTTCTCCTCCACCTGCACCCAGATCACTCCCGGGCTTTGGTCTGCTCCCAAACACTCCCAAAGGGCAACTTCCAAGCCACAGTCAAGGTGGAGCTTTCTGGCAGGACCGAGTCTCTCCCTGCCAAACCTAAAGGAGGATGGTGCCGCCTCCTTCGGTCCGATCCAAGGGCAAACCCGGACTGGGAAGGGACTGAACAGACCCCCTTGTCTGAACCTTCCCCTTCCTTTCTCCCAGGACAGAGCAGGCACGTCTGCACCCTGCACTGCCACGCAGCCGGGCCACAAACCCTGGGGACAGCCCGTGCTGTCCCCGGCGCCGCAGGACCCCGGCACGCCCAGGGTTAACTGGGCTTCTTCCCGGACATGCTCTGCTCGGGGGGCAGCACCGTCTCGATCTGGAAGGACACAAACTGGCCCTTCTTCAGCTTCTTCAGGGAGCTGGCAGGGCTGCCCCCAAACACGTTGTCTTCCACCTTGAAGGCCAGAGAGGGCAGCCCCCGCGTTTTCCTCTTCACGCCCTTGCGCTCGCGCTTGCAGGCCGTGGTCATGTTGGAGATCACCTGCCAGGAGAACGGAGGGGCTGGGCTTCCAGGTGTCACTCAGCAATCAGCTCAGCTCTGATACAAGCCCACTGAATCACAGAATCCTTAGGGATGGAATCCTTAGCTCTGGAGATCATCCAGGCTAACCCCATGTCCAGGCAGGGTCACCTGGAGCAGGTGACACAGGAACACGTCCAGGTGGGTTTGGAATGTCTCCACAGAGGGAGAATCCACGGCCTCCCTGGGCAGTTCCAATGCTCTGCTACACTTAATGGAAAGAAGGTCTTCCTCATGTTGAGGTGGAACTTCTTGTGGTTTAGTTTATGGCCATTCCTCTTCATCCTGTCACTGGGCACCACTGAGAAGAGCCTGGCACAATCATCTGGCACCCCTCAGAGATATTTCCATGCTTGATGAGATCCCCTCTCAGTCTTCTGCAGACTGAGCAGGCCCAGCTCCCACGGTCTCTCCTCGTAAGAGGCTGAGAGTGAGTGAGAGCTGGCAGCGTCAAGCTGGATGCACCTGGGGCAAGGGAGGGACTCAGCAGAGACTTCCCAGCCTTGTTCTCACCACCCCACACCAGCAGGAGCCCTCGCAATGTGAAACTGCAATTCCGCGGCCGTACTCAGAGCTGTCAGTCAGCAGAGGGCAGACGGGGATCTAGGCTGGAGTCCTTAGCTCTGGAGATCATCCAGGCTAACCCCATGTCCAGGCAGGGTCACCTGGAGCAGGTGACACAGGAACACGTCCAGGTGGGTTTGGAATGTCTCCACAGAGGGAGAATCCACGGCCTCCCTGGGCAGTTCCAATGCTCTGCTACACTTAATGGAAAGAAGGTCTTCCTCATGTTGAGGTGGAACTTCTTGTGGTTTAGTTTATGGCCATTCCTCTTCATCCTGTCACTGGGCACCACTGAGAAGAGCCTGGCACAATCATCTCGCACCCCTCAGAGATATTTCCATGCTTGATGAGATCCCCTCTCAGTCTTCTGCAGACTGAGCAGGCCCAGCTCCCACGGTCTCTCCTCGTAAGAGGCTGAGAGTGAGTGAGAGCTGGCAGCGTCAAGCTGGATGCACCTGGGGCAAGGGAGGGACTCAGCAGGGACTTCCCAGCCTTGTTCTCACCACCCCACACCAGCAGGAGCCCTCGCAATGTGAAACTGCAATTCCGCGGCCGTACTCAGAGCTGTCAGTCAGCAGAGGGCAGGATGTTCCTGATCTAGGCTGGAATGCCACAAAGCCCAGGGAAGCTTTACCACCTCCCGTTAATTACAGCCCCAATCCCTGCCTGGACGCAGGAGAGAGCCGGTGATCCCACAGCCGAGGCTCCCTTGGGGACAGGACAGAGCCCTCACTGCCCTGTGCCAGGATGTGCAGCTCCATTTCACAAAAGGGGAGCTGAGCTAGTGAACCTGAGCTGCCAAAGGGATCAGATCCTACATATCCAGTTCCCAGGCCCTCCTCCCTCCTGTCCCATATTCCTCCTGTTGTTCCCTGGCAAGAACAACCACAGTCCAGGTGAGATCAGAGAGAACCACACAGCCCTGACTGAGTGTAAGAAATGACTGAGCAAACAAAGCACTGGAGCCTTGTATGTGGTTTTTTGGCACACAGCTCACCGAGCACTTCACAGGGGGCACTGAGGTCATTTTTCAAGTGAGGGAACCAAAGACTAGAGACACAAAAAGAGCTGCCAAGGTCACCCAGCACGTCAGAGACAGTCAGGAGCTGCGTGCTGACTTTGCTCTCCAAGCCCATACCCCTGCCCACTGGGCCACTACTCCTCACAGCAGCCCAAACCTCCTCACGTTTTGGAGCAGGGCTACTTTAAACCTTTGCAGTTACACAGCATCTCCCTGAAGGCTTCTTGTCCTGCCTAAGGAGGGACTCCTTTGGCTGATCTGGGATGCAGATTACAAGGCAGGGAGCTGGGCAGGCTGGGACACAGCTCTCATTAACCTGATGGGGCAAGTCAGTCCCTCGTATATCGTCACCCATCTCTGAGCAGCACCACCAGCACCTCCCCTGTGGTGCTGGCCCAGCTCTGCTCCTGGTGCCCTTGGCACACACTGAGGTGCCACCTCTCCTGCAAAATGATTTCAAGGCACCACAAGACTTACAATCTCCTTCACCACGTTCTGCTGCTCCTGCACCGTGGCTGTGAACGGCGGGAGGCCGTCGGCCTTACCGGAGCCAGCCCCCTGCTCTTTAGAGTCCTTGACAAAATCCACCTGCAAGGCACAGATTCGGGTGTTACCCTGCAACCACGGCAGGGACAAAGCTCCTGCAAGGCTTCCCTGGGCCGGGCAGTTACCTCTGAGGACAGGCACACGTATCTGTTGAACATGAGGAAGAAGGGGCTGTACTTGGTGGCGGAGTTGACCGAGGTGCGGAACTCGAAGAGGACGGGGTCCAGGTGTGCGTCCCACTCGCTGGGCTTCTCGTTCACCACGCTGCAGATGGAGGCCCTGAGCACCTCAGCACTGCGGTCACCAGGGCTGGGAGGGTCTGTGGGGTCTGTGGGCGTGAGGAGCTGTGAGATGTTCCAGCGCTCGCACAGGTGCCGGCTGACCTGGGAGAGCACAGAGACCACGGCGTGTCAGCCCCACAGCAGCCTCCAGGGCACTGTCCCCCTGTGCCAGGAGAGCCACTGTCTCCCTGTGCCAGCAGATGTGCAGCACAAAATGCTCCCCAGAAAAATGAGAGCTTGAGAAAATGTTTTGCAATGACTGCTCCTGTGCTTGAAGCTCTCCACAGTGCTGAGGAGCTGGGTTAATCCCGGGGTAGGGCTGGAATTTTGTGCACATGGTCTTTCCTTCTAAGCAGAGAGGACTTGCACCACTGATCCACAACCTTAAATCTCTTCCAAGGTGAAAGCACTGGCAAATCAGCTCCTACTCTCAACAGGACTGTGGCAGGGATACTGCAGCATCAGCGCCTCACCCCCCCTACACAGCACATCACAACTCTGCCTGCAGGACCTGCTGCCTGCTGAAGGTCACACTGCCCAAAAAACCTGCTGAAGGTCACATTGCTTCCCCCTGAACCACCCCACACCAGACCTACCTCCTCGCAGAAGTCCCAGCTCTGACTGGTGTAAATGTTCTTGGAGGCGCCAAACCTGGGCAAGAAGAGGACACACAACTGGTTTTACTCCATCAGCTGAGGCAGAGCCCAAGGAATTCCATCTTTATGGGTGCAAATGGGATAGGAAGGGGACAGGACCCTCCAGATGAGGCTGCTGTGACCTCCCCAAGAGCAGAGAGAGGTCTGCTGGTCCCTCTGCTCCAAACCAGCCACGCCTGTTTGCTTTTGGATGATGAGGCAGCAGCAGAAATGAGAGCAGCTTCTTGCTCTGAATTCAAATCTCCACTGGCCCCACGCTGTTTTCCACAAGGACAATGTCACATGGTGACAGAAACACTTTCTAGGAGAAATCTGGGAATGGCTTTAAAGCTTCTGCAGAGAACTGGGACACAGCTCCCCTGGCCTCGGGCTACTCAGAGAAACATTTCTGCCTCTTTCTTCTCGGCCCGTAACAGGGTAACAGGCTCTTCCCAAGGA